CGGACTAGATGATCTGCCCAGGTCCCTTCCGACCCTAGAAACTATGAAAGTCATTTAAGGTGCGTTACACTTCCGAATTTCCTACAGTGAATTAATGTGTAATATGCTGCTGAGGCGTGCAAACACTGACACCATTAAAGTGGTGCAAAAGCATTTAGCCCGCTTTCAAGTGTCGTGCGCACACACCTCTCGTTTTGTCTACACATGGCCTAAGACTCATTAGGCAGCCACGGCTTGAATGAAACACTTCACTGCTGCTTCCTGAGTGTGTACCTTTGGAAAGGAGAATGTAAGTCTTTCTGTTAAACTATTCATTTTAGGGGATCATTCATTATTGGTTATGGAAGCACTGGGTGAAAATATGGTGACCTTTGATCAGTAGTCATAGGGTGATGGGATGAGCAAGAGAGAGGGGGAGAGAGAGAGAGATGTGAAATGGCATTTTCCTCTTTTAAAAAAGTCTTCATTTCCCTTAAAATTTAAACAGAAAAACTTGACTTTTATTTGAACAAAACAAAAATATGCAGATTTCTCAGATTTTAGCAAATACATTTCAGTTGTCAGTTTTCTGAAAATAAAAATTCTGAAGAGAGTAGACATTTGCAATGAAAAGTTTCATTTGTAGAATGAAATTAAAAAGTCCTCAAGAAACATCACTTTTCCTCTCTCTTTCCACTTATTCCCCATCAGAGGAGGGATAGTAATCATTTAGGGTAGACTTAACACTACCCTGCCCCCTGGTCCAGAAGAGTCAAATTGTATTTTAAGCATGTTGACTGATCAACTCAGCGTAAAGCCACCCACGTTCCTTTTCTCAGCTCGTTATACTTTTTGAGTGGCAAAAGGGGTTAACCAGAAGCAGTGCAATGAAATTTAGTAACAAACTAAAAAAGGTCATGTACACAGATGAAGAAAATCATTACAAATTTCAAATATTTGTGGAAAATGTTTAGAAAAAGATCTGTAATATTACAGGTTGTAGTTTCCTAGCATGCCAGCTGAAGCACAAAGTGGCCAGTGAGTGCCAAGTTTTCCAAGCATGGCTAGTATATTGAAAGAATTAATGGCAATTTTAGGTACTTCATTTTGATGTGCCTAATTTGAGACATTACACAGGGGTCCCAGAGAAGAAGGCAGCTCAGCATTTCCTGGCAAACTAAGTCATGAAAGTGTCTCAGGTATAAAATCACTAGTTGTTTTGCCAGTCTTTTTCAACACCCCAAACTGGTTTGGGAACAAGCATCCTCCTGAAGCCTTTCCCCCAAAAGTACAAATTGAGAAGCAGGTCGAAAGAACCTGTTGCAGCATTTGCCAGAGCCTAACAAACTGCTGTCAGCAATGTCCATGCCTACTTTTGTGCTGTTGTTTCTCCCTTGGGACCACTCTTCCCTCCATCAGTCTTCACTTCCTTCCCTCCTCCATCCCAGCTGCTGTGCCTGTTATGCAGCTGGACAATTTTAAAGTTTTACTTTCACTTAAAATTCAGTTTCTTAATTAATAGTTAAACTTTAAAGCAGTCCAACTGTCTCTACAAAGTAATCACCGTATTACAATCACTGGCCTCCTTTTCCTCAACTTACCTAAATGATTTTATGACACCAGAGAATTTTGTTAAGTGCCTTTGAATGTCACTAAGACCCCTCATTGACATTCACTTTCAGGCATGATCTAATCATCAATCTCAACAATCACATGCCCTGCCATGCCACGCATGCATGTCAGGCCATGTGATTTTGGGCACCAGGAAGATGAAATCAATCAGCTGATTGTCAACTGGGGCTGGGAACCAAACTGGTCCCCGGCCCCAGTCCACAATCAGCTTGGCATATGGGGAGCCTGTAAACAGGGAGCTATAAAACCATGCGTGCTGCCCAGCTGGGTGACACATGAGGTTTATACAGCTCTCAGTGCATGGGGAGCTCAATGTTGGGCTGCAGCAGCCTGATGCCAGGCTTATATCATACACTAAGACCTCTCAACATCCATGTGTTGCTCAGTGGGGTGGCACACAGGGTTTTGACAGGTCCCAGCTCTTGTTCATTTTAGGATATTTACTGCATTATCATGCCGTAAAATGAGTTGCATGTGCAGCTAGTTGCTATTTAAGTTGCAATTAATCTGTTAATCATGTCTTAAATGTAATGTGCGTCAGGGGCCTATATATATCAAACACCACTGCTTTTCATGAGATATGTAGGGGCTGATCTTCCCCTGTTGTGAACTGGCTATTTACTTCTATACTTTATTTCCTGCCTTCCAATAAGACTTTTAAGTCAGGATGGCACTTTGTCTCTCAGCTGTTACCAAATTTTTGTAACTGTGTTTAATTTCAAATTTCTACAATCAGCTCTAAAGTTTTATAATTTCAAACACAGCATTTCCTTGTAACTATAACCTGGAGGCAATAGCTCTCATCATAAACACTTATATAAATGCTTCACCTTGATGGAAATATTTAGACACTGGTTTTCAGAAACCAAATACAACTTTTCATACTCAGAATAGGGCTGTACTCAAAATGTGAAACTCAGTGAGGGCATGAAAACATTACATAGTGGGGACTCTTGAGTATACCCTGGCAAGGTCTTTACAAGAAAAAAAAATCTGCCATTAAATACATTCTGATTATTCAATAAAAAAGTGCTCTTTGTTAGTATTTTTTGTGGCTCAGGGGTGAGATCTGTAGCAGTGATCATTTAAACGACGAACTGAACTCCATCAGGAGGGAAATTGCCCCAGTAATGCCGTTAGTTTTGGTGAGAGAATCTGAGTCACAAAGCCTGAAGAAACCACTCTAGCACATCAAGGCCATGTTGATCAATCCCCGATCAGCACATCAGGGTCTGATCCAAACAAAACAGTCTATGGAAAGATTCCCATTGATTTCAACGAGCTTTTCAGCATGCCCTTAGAGGGGTACAGTTTCCTCATTAAAAAATCCATGCTGGTTTTGTCCTAATCATATTGATAACTCTGAAGTTGCTAATTTTTTCTGTTATTTTTTCTGTAATAGTGCAAGGAAGACATAACACACTAGCATAAAGCTATGCAACTCAAAAAGTTTGGAATGAGTTTGGGGGCAGTAGTTGTGGCTCATTCTTCTTTTTCACTTTCCTCCCCAGCTAACAAAAGAGCATGAATTTGTTGCTTGTGACTGACAACCCTAAACTGCAGCCAGCTGCTTAGCCACAGGGAACAACTGGCATGGGAAGGGGTAGTGCAAGCTCCTATCCAGATCTCCCCTTGGTACTGAAGAGGTGAAATGGCAGCAGGGTGGATTCAGAATTTGGCAAAGAGGGGTGTGGGCACAGCAACCTGTCTTTCAGGAGTGGCTGTATCCCCACTGTCAGTCTGCCCATCAGTGCTGGTAGACCACACTGCCAGAGCCTTTGGGGACCAAGAGCAGCTAAGAATCTCTCACCTTTCCTTCTGTGCTCAGACACAAATCTTCTACCCTCTCTTTCCACTCTCTCTCTACCCACCACTATTGCTTTGCCTGCTCTCTGGTGGCAGAGTAAACTTCAGAGTTGCTTCTGCCCACTCCAGCCAACCTGTGTAGGGCTTGGACTCAGCTGGGGCAGTGGCAGTAGCAGAAGCAGCAGAAGTGATAGATGATGGGGTGATGTCCCCCAATCTGTCTAGTCTTTCCCAGACCAGGTGTGGGGATGGGGAACACACTTGCCCATTATTGCTGGTGGTGTCCCTGTGTAGCCTGGCTGAATATGCAGGACCAATCGGTAACCTTTGCCAACATACAGGACAGTATTTCCATCTTCTCAGGCCATATTTTAACAGAAAGCAGAGGCTGCCATAGTGTTTTGTGTATAGCCTAATCTGGTAGGAATTCTTATGGCATATCTGCTCAGTCAAACCCTACACTAAATTGGACGACCATCCAGAGTCATAAGATACACATTTAAGCTGTTCAACTGTATCAAGAAGGGAGTGCTTCTTTTGTGGCCACAAGCAGCTCTTTAAGCATCTGAAGCACCTTAAATGTCAAAAGCAGAGGCAGCTATAGGGTTTAGGAGCTCCAGGGTTAGGTGGCATCTAAAATAGGGGATTACAGGATTGTGGCTTTATATCTGGATGTATTAAATAATAAATATATCCCACTTTAGACCTCCACATCCTTTTCTGGGATCTGTCCCTACCTATGTATAGTGCTTTATCTACCTCCCAGGGTCAGTGAGCCTTATTCACTGCTAGCCTCATCTAGTTTACACTACTATAACTCCAACTACTTTGAATTTCCCCTGATTCATGCCTTTTTCACACAAGATGGAAATGAGGGCCCAAATTCCTTAGCTAACTGAAGACATTTAACTGTTGGCTCTGTGGCTTAGAATCTGCTTTACTGTGGCTTTACTGACTCAAGTAGGGTACTTGTTTGTCTTACTGGGCAAATGCTATTTCATTTAACCTAATACAAGGTAGGAGCAATTCATGAAGTTAGGAGTTACTTCTGCATTATATTAATGAAACCAAGGACAGAATTGGGCCCACTGTGTTCATATAAAATGCACAGCCCTTTCTTTCAGCTTTAAAAATGTATTGTGAGTTCTTACTCTCACCTTCCATTAACTTCAATGGGAATTCTACAGGGTAAAATTTAGCCCGTAGTATGTAATATTAATATATGAGTAAGAGAGAAAAAGTATGGTTTCATTCATAAAATATTTCAGGTAATCAAAAAATTGTGGTTAGAGATGTAACACAAAAGCATGTTGGGTTGGTAACCAAGGCAACCCTTCTTGCTTCAAGATGCACTTTTCTGTTGATAATCTATTGTAATGCCAGTAATTGCAGCTGACAAGGCTCTGTTTGTTGTGAGAGATAATTAGCAGTTGAAAAAAAGTAACAGATTTAAATAAATTGGGGGGAACTGAGTGGTGTGACCTGATCTCTTAGAAACAAACAAGAGCTTTGGGGGACTGCTGACTGGGTGATATTACTGGTGGCCTCCACAGTGGCTGAACAATGCTAGCATCTATTAGACTACACTTAATTGGGAATTACAGTGGTTCTCATGGTGCAAACATTTCTCTCTTGCTCAGATTATATTTACATTGTAAAAACACATTTTTCCATTGTTTTTACACAAAATTGATATTTACCGTAGTCAGTCTATTCATCCAAGTTGTATTTGTGTATTAGTTAAAGGAAATTTGTTTTTAAATGAATAATTGTTTTTTTGACAACTGTAGCATTCTGAATCCCAGCATTTGTTGTACAAAATGAGAATGCCATTAAGTCAAATAGCTCCCTGCATTGGATGGAAAGGCCAGGTTATTCACAAGGTGCTTAAGATACCATGACAATGTTGCTGCTTAAGGTACCGCACTATTTCATCGTTTGGAATATCAGCACTACTCCCACATTTGTTTTTTATCTTTGTATTACTTGGTGTCTTAGCTGGTTTTGGTATTGTGATATAAAGAAGCAGGAGTGGATGCAGTAGGGTTGCAGTGTCATGGATGCATCCTCATTTTGGACCACACTAGGAGCAGCAGTGAGGATGTTTTTTAAGTCCATAAATCAGGTAAAAATCCCACCTCCCCATCCCTCCTGCTTTTGGCACCTCCCTCCCTTCCACTCTGTCCTCAGCCACAGGTGCTATGGGAAGTGGGGCAGGGGGGACAGGACTCCAGCGTGTCCCTGCCAGCTCCAGCTGCAAAAAGCATCATCATCAGCAGTAGGTCCATTCCTCCTCTCTGCCCAGACCACCAGGTGTTCCTGTAAGTTCAACATGGGACAGGGAACTTGCCTGCTCCTGTCCTTTTGTTGAGCCTAGGTGCAGCAGCTCCAGAGCTCCTTCCTGTTGTGAAGTGAATTGGAAAATCTGTAATTTGGGTGGAGGGGGGAAGAGCTCCAGAGCACCTGCAACCAGGCTCAGCCCAGGGGGGGAGGGAGCTGGGCAAAGAGGACAATCCCACCTAGCTGACAGTGCTGTCCCCTACAGAGCTTGCCTGGAAGGGGAAAGGAGAACCTCTGAAACACCCTCCACCCTCTCATCAGCCCAGGCCAGCAGCAGATGTGGGACAGGGCAAATGGCAGTGGAGGGGTGGGCTGGATGGAGGGGGAGGGAAGTGATGTGGAGAGTGGGATGTGAGGATACAAGGTAGTCAAGGGGAAAGAGACTTAATAGTGGGGGTCTACTACAGACCTCCCAACCAAGGGGAAGAGCTAGACCAGGAATTCTTAAGTCAGCTCACGGAGGCAGTTAGGTCAAAGGATGTGGTCATCATGGGCAACCTAAACTTTCCAGACATCTGCTGGGAAGAGCAGTCAGCCAGGTCTGACTGTTCATGTAGGTTCCTAGCCCAAATGCAGGACCTCCATCTAA